ATATATATATATATATATATATATATATATATATATATATATAGATATATTATATATATAATCTATCTCGATATTAGGATTACCTTGTGCGGTGCCATAAATTAGGACATCCAGAGACGCGTTAACGTTTTCACTGAAGCGTTACATTCTCGTGAGGATAAACGTATCAGCAACAACCAAAACCGATTTCACGATGAACGACATTATAATACTTACAAATTGGATATACATAATTCTAATCTCTCGATGGTTAATCAAATACGAGATTAAAATATAATATAATATCGAGCTTAAATGAAACCAATTAATTCCCACCCCCATCTTCCACCTATTATTTCAACAACAAAAAAAAGACAAAAAATACAAACGCACGATAATTATTATCTTTCACGAGATCGATCGATAGAAAATAAAATAAAAATATAAATATAACGACAAAAGTGTTATCAATAATTTTCGTATCGAATTACGATCAATTTTAATCTTCTAATATATATTTCTGATTATATTAATTATAAAAATTATTAAATATATAATTTTACGTTTTAATTGACGAATATTATTAAGTAGTAAAGTTAAGCCTGTTTCAGCCACTCTGCATTCGTGCATTCTTTGACAAAATTCATCGCATTCTGCAAAACCTCAGGAATCAATATAATTTAATGAGGGTTTATATTGAGAATAAATATTGTTCGGTTTTCGTTAATATCAATGAATGTAATTGGTTAGTCTTTTATCTGTACTACTTCTGCAATTGTTTCCATTGACTTTTATATTTACTACTAAAAACGGTTTCTATTATCTTTTATGCAAACTACTAGAATAATGTCTCTCGCAACCTGTTTTGCACTAATTAATGTATTTAATTATTATTAATTATATAATTATATAATAGTTATGAAAATTTTAAAAATTCAGAAGTAAAAACAAAAACGTTTGTAAATCACGCAGGCAAGTTTATTACTTTAATTAATGTAAAAAATAAAAATCCAACTAAAAATGTTATATAAGCGATTCCAATAAAATTTCAAATAAAAAATTCGAAGGAAAAGAAACAAAATTAAAGAGAATTCTTAAAGATCGCGGGGTTCCTTTAATTAAAATAAATGAAAATAAAATGAAATGAAATATATATATTTCTACACGAGACATGATATTACACTGCACACTATATTGCATTCTAATAAAACGTTTATACCATTTATATTGTACAATGAAATTTAATTTTCTGTTTAATTAATGTATTCTTTTAGTTTTAAACATATAACAGATATAACAGATTTTTTTTATAAGAGATAATTATTAAAATATGTAATTGTCCTATTTTAGAAGGAAACATGTATATGTATATTATATATGCTATTCATCTTGATTATCTTGTATTTTTCATTGATCAATTAAATATTATTTGCGTGATAATA